AAGAGGGAGGAGTGAGAGCCAAAAGAAAAACAGACCAAAAGGGGAGAGGGGGGGGGGTTCACTATCATAAATACCAGGAAGTCTTGTTCCATAATACCTCTTTATATACTGGATACTCCTCTCCACAGTTTCCTAAGCAAAAAACAGAGGCTAAATTTCTACAAGATACAAGATTATCAGTGTACTGCATTCAATAACAATGTACAGGGATGTCTTTTTGTCGCTGTTGTTTTAATACTGTGAAGTCAACGTGGCGCCCCCCGGTGGGCTGACAGGGGGAGGGGGAGGGGGGGAGGTGAGGGGAGGTGGAGCAGGGCGTTCATCCTTTTCACAACCAGAGGATGATTTTTAATGTTCCTCTGAAGACTATTCTTGTTTTGAGCTGTACGTCCCTGTTATGGCTGGAGGGTACCAGTGCCAGACTGCTACCAGGGATACCTGCCATGGAAGGTTAGGAGGGAGGGGGTAGGAGGGAAGGACAGAATCACGCAGTGATGACAAGTCGTCCACATATGGAGTGGGAGAATGAAGTGAAGCGAGTGCGTTTACATGTGTTCTTATGTATTAACAGCATCAAATGTACCTCACAAGCAATGTGAGCAGAGACCTGAGTCGCCCGTGACGTCACACAGCTCACAACAGGATGTGAAACAAGCAGGATAAGAGCCCATCCAAACATCAGCAAGACAGGATATGAGAAATCTTTCAAATTAAAAGCATCCCAGGTGACACAGCGCTGCGTGGGGGGGGGATTCTGTGTTCTAACATCTGCCTAAATCCCTACTTTAGTTATCTGTGCATTCAAAATACTTTTGTTCCCTCAGCTCTGTCATTTAAATTTACTAACACAGTCATACAATATCGTTTAGCTGATGCATGAGTAGTACTTTACAGGTTTTAGCTCTAAATGTTTTTCTCTCAACGCAGGTATACTCGTGTGTACATGGAGATCAGACACATGGAACCTTGGCTCTGTCAAAAACATGCAGTAAAAAAAGCAAATGTGAATAGATTTTCTCACTCCTGGTTATAATTTAGCACAATGAGCTTGGACTACAGTTCCCATCATGCTTGACTGAAGCAAAAGGGGAGAATGAGTCAGTAATCTGGACATTTGCTGCCCTTTTTTCGGTATATTGGGCAGTCTGCACCAGAAGCTTCATCTGCTCAAATCCAGGCAAACATCACCTGTAGGACTCTTCTATGGCCTGTGCGCTGATTTATGGACTTAACGGACACACCTGTCTACAAGTTCAAC